CAATGGGCAAGCTGAAATAACTAATCGCACGATATTCGGGTGCTTAAAGAAAAAATTGGAGAAGTTGAAGACAAAGTGGTACGAGAATCTCCCTCAAGTGCTTTGGGCCTATCGAACCACTCCAAGACGACCCACGGGAGAAAGCCCATTTGCTATGGCATATGGATCTGAAGCTGTCATTCCTACCGAGTCCATAATCCCAACCCTTCGGACATCCTTGGTACTGGAGGGAACAATGAGCAACAACTCGAACATAGCCTTGATTTGGTAGATGAAAGGAGAGATGCAGCAGCAATTCGTCTCGCGGCATACCAACAGCAGGTGTGTAACAGTTATAACAAATGCGTCAGATTCAGGAGCTTTGTGGTAGGTGATTGGGTTTTGAAGCAGGAGACAGCTCATGTAAAGAAACTGGAACCTAATTGGACTGGACCCTACAGGGTTACGGAAGTAGTGGGGAAAGGAGCATATCGTTTGGCCGAAGCTGGCGGACGTCCCATTGCGCGTCCTTGGAACGCAATACACCTGAAATGGTATTTCCATTAGTTAAGTTTGTCCATTTTGCTACAACTTCTTCGCAAATAAAGTTGCGTATGTCCACAGTCAGCCAAGCTTTTCTTTATTTTGCTTCTATGTTCTGTACCACTTTCCTCTATTTTTGTTTCTTTTTCTAAAAATGGGGGACCATACTATGCATGGCATTCGTCTGATTTTTTCCCAAAAACAAAACATGAGTTATGGCCTGTGCTTAAACCTTTCTATCCCATATCGACAAAAAAGTATGTGCCACATTCTGTTATATATGGAAATATTCAAATAGTTAATCACGGTGTAAGGAGGGCCCACTGGTATTTAAGGCTGTCAAGCTCAATACCAGAGGCATTCCTTACACCGACCTTTTTGACAAAATTTAGTCTATGTCCCACATCGGATAGAAATAGAAAAGAAATGTGGTTCATATATGCGTGGTCCACAACATTTGGTTGCCAAGAAGGGAGTATCAGTGGAGGCAGGTCTCTAAACTCAACAAATGGAAAACTTCACAGCCACTGTTACTCGCTTTCTTGGCCTCCTATCATTTTTGAGTCCTCGGCCTCATGATAAGTGGTTTGAGGAAAAATGTAAAACAAACCTCCCCTCAGGCTCAGCGCCGGGGAGTAATTCATTCGCCTCGGACCTTAAGTGTCCGATTCGGCACAACCTCCCCTCAGGCTCAGAGCCGGGGAGTAATTCATTTAACCTCCCCTCGAGCTCAGCGCCGGGGAGTAGTTCTCTCGCCTCGGACCCTAAGTGTTCGGCTCGGCAAAAATTTCGCCCCAGACCCTATGTGTCTGACTCGGCAAAAATCTCGCCTCGGACCCTGAGTGTTTGGCTCGGCAAAAATCTCGCCTCGGACCCTAAGTGTTCGGCTCGGCAAAAATCTCGCCTCGGACCCTAAGTGTTCGGCTCGACGAAAATCTCGCCTCGGACCCTAAGTGTTCGGCTCGACAAAACCCCCCTCCGGCTCCACGCCAGGGAATGTATAATTCGCCTCGGATCCTAAGTATCCGAGACAGCTTCGGACCCTAAGTGTCCTATTCAGCACTAGTCCTCCACGACTCAGTGCCGAGGGATAATTCGCCTCGAATCCTAAGTATCCAAGATAGATCTGGACCCTAAGTGTCCTATTCAGCAATATTCCTCCACACTCAGTGCCGAGGAGTATTCACTTTAGACCTCTGGTACCCGGATCAGAACTCTTTCCTCCGGACTCCAAGTGTTTAATACCCTGTGGATTCGGATATATCATAAGTTCATCATACTCCACCCCATATCAGGAACACACGAGAAGGAAATAGTATGTATACGTCTACTGCAGACAAGTAAAAGGCAAGGAGGGTTCATTTAACAGTTAAATAATTGTCCATATGAGTTATCCTGCGATATCAACTAAACTGTTAAAAGGATCTCCTTCTTCGCACAATCCTTGCGTTTTCACGGATAGCATAAATCCGAAGCATAAAGACAATGTTTAGTGTTTAAACACATTACCAGTCAGAGAAATATGAACAGTATCAAGAGCATACAGCAAAAACAAGTCAGGCAAGCCTAAAACAAAAAGTTATATTCATTACTTATTATCCCAAAACAGGCTGTTCATAAAAACAAAATACATGGTTCTACTTCCTCTTCGGATCGAAGGTACATTAGGACTTGAGGTAGGAGGAGTTGAAGCCGCAGGAGCAGGGGAGCTAGGAGTACCCTTCAGGTGTGCCTTCACCATCTCGGCAAAGCGGATTTCAGCTTCCAAAGCCTCTGGCCCTTCATCGTATGGGAAGTGCACCCCCACCTGCTTGTCAAAAGCGTCCGGATCCATCGTCTTAGGGCCTGAGCCCTGATTATAGCCAGACCGGAATGCTTTAGCACTAGCCAGGTGCGCCAGACAGGAGTAGCGCCCCTGCATTTGCTTCCCCGCCTTGAAGCAAGTAGTAAGAGCCTCGGTCAGGCGTTGAACCTCGGCCTGAAGAGAATCCACCTTAGCCTCAGAGGCTGACAACTGCCTCTTATACGCATCCTTGGCTTCAGAAGCTATCTTCAGATTGGTAGAGGCAGTAGTGGCTCTCTTCTCTGTATTGTCAAGATCCTTTTCCAACTTCTTGATGGAGAGGGATTGAGCTTTAGCAGTGGCGCAGAGGGCCATGGTGTGGTATAGACTCTGTTTAACAGGGAAGCAAATATAAGCATAAATGGAAACACAAGCAAGCAAGAGTAATATAATTCTGAAGGAGCAATGCGAACCTCTATGGCCTGAACTGGGGCAGAGGGGAGTAGTTGCTCCAACCCCATTTGGCTGATGGCTTCCTCGTCCTTTGGGAGCCACATTCCTCGAGCCACCGCCAGTGCAGCTGAAGGGTCTGTAATCACAGAATCCCCTGAGTGCAGGACTGACCTATCAGCCCTGGTGAAGGAAGGAGTCCAAGGAGTCCCGGTCTCAGCTAGAACAAAGGCCCTGACTTCATCTTCAGGTTCGGCCTCTCCAGCCTTTTTTCCTCTGCTTTTAGAAGGGACCTTGCCCTTGCCAGAGGATGAGGGGTTGAGGCGAGATTTCTTCATTGGTGGTTCCTCAACCTCCACCTCATCCTCAGTTGATCTAATAACGACCAAGGGTTGGGCATCTTCAGCTTTCTTTTTTAAAGCCTCAGCCCTTCGTATCTCCTCCTTAGTCATGGGAAAACTGTCAAAGGATGGTAGAGACAGATCCATGAGGTCTGCAGCAACGGCACTGGAGGCAATGTCCTTGAGGTTTGAAGAAGGTAGTAGGTCCTCGATAGGCGAGGGGTCACTCCAGACTCGTTCCTCAAGAAAAGAAAGTCTGTTCCTTGCTGTGGAGGATGGGAATGTAGCTGAAAAAACACCAAGAAACTCATAAATACGTCGAAACATTAAGACTTTGCAAGGAAAACAGCCAGAACACTTGGTATGAATGGAGGTTAAATATTCTATACCTAATTTCCCGAACTTGCGCGGGATGGGAAGCACAGTTGATTGGGACACGAACCATTTTCCTTTAACTATAACCATCCTTTCTTTCCATTTCTTTTCGGATGAAGGAAGGTTCGTGCATATTCTCTGATGAAGGGGAGAAGTAAAAAAGAAGCGACCAGGCTCGGTCCCATGCTTAGATATATTATAAGTAAGCAGAAGGTCGGCAAGGGTCAAATCTAGAGCCTCTAATTTCCGGCGCACCAACAGTGCCGAAAGAATGCGAAAGAAATTAGGGTTTACCTGAAGGGGGGCAAGACCCAGCTTATTAAACACTAAATGGTAGAAGGGATGAAGAGGGAATCGAAGGGCGTTAAGATGCCCCACCGAAAGAAGCAACTCATCCTCCTCAATTCCCTCGCCGGAGGTAAAATCGGCACCCTCGGGATATTCTGCAATTTCTACTCCCTCAGGAATATCAAATTCTTCCATTACCGAAGCAATAGAGAACTTGATGCGGCGAATAGAGATGATTGCTTTCTTCTCGTCATGAGTAAGAACATAATCAGAGCCTGAGGTAGATGTCTCGGTTGGAAGAGGGGAAGTACCTAATGGATTCGACAAAGGGCGATCTGTAGAAACCCTAGGAGGGGGAGCCCTAATGCGAACGGGGGAAGATGAAGGTGTGGATTCAGAATCCCCAAGGTCTACGTTCGGGAGTAGATGAAGTACTCATAAGGAAAGATTGAAGAGTAAGATGCGAGACTAACCTGACAAAGCGATGGAATGAAGAGCGCAGAAGTGCAGCAAGGGCAAATGTAACTCTTGCAAAATCTTGTACGTCGGAGTAATAATGAAAGACCTCGAACCGTTTCTGAAGCAAAGTAAAAAACCGGTTTCAATTCCCTCTTTAATAGGAGCCGTCGCTCAATTAAAAACGAAATTTGGGGCAAAGTGTGGAGGGAAAAAAAACTCCCTCCAATAAAAAGCGCACACGTCACCACTACCCATGTCTACATTCCAAGGACATATAAGGCCCATCGTGCTCAAGCCCAAGTTGAAGGTATTTACAGCCCAAGACCATTGTTATTTGTCCTCCAACTTCCATCAAGGCCGAATCAAGAAGTCATCAGCCCAGCTTATGAGTATTTAACATCCTGCCTGTTACTCAAGCCCAGCCGGATCAAAATATATTCAGCCCAAGAATGCACAAGTCCTACCATTTGAATGATTTACTGTAGAAGGAAAATTCTGATAGGAAGTTCTGTACAAGGCAAGTTCTATGTATGGAAAATTCGACAATGGAAAGAACTCTATTAGAAAAGAATGGTTATATAGAAAGAATTGGAGGGCAAGCAAGGCGAGTCCTACCATAATTTTGCAATATTTTGTGTATAAATAGAGGCTAAGACCTCCAATAAAGGATCAAGCAATTCCACGCTTCTCTATACACTGTTCTTATTTATTTTTATTATTTCTGAGTGAGTTGTTTTATTTTTCTCAATCATTATTGGTTGAGCGAAATTTTGCACCTACAGGTATATTTCAGGTTCACTCATAAATCTTGTTTTTTTTTTTTTTGGGTATGAATCTTGGTTTTGTATATATAACTTTTGGCTGGCCTAGGATAATTCCCATGTACAGGACTGGGATCTTCACTCAATTGCAGACATACCATAGAGTTCTTGAAGGTAGATGGAATAGGAATATAGATTTATTATTTACTGGATTTGCTCTTGCTCTTGATTTGAATTTATACATTCACAACTGACTTTATTTTTTTTTGTAGTTTGTGTACAGCCTTCAGCTAATAGTTTCTAATGCCTCTGCACTTATTCTTGTGTTGCTTTGGCTAGGTGTTCTCATTTTGATTTTGCTAGGACTTTGCCTCTTGCTCGGTTCCTAGTTTTTGTATGGCCATGTGCCTTGTTTGTACAGTTTTCTCTTTTATATATACAATCACCCTTTACGCAAAATATAAAATAAAATAAAATAAAACTTTTGGGTGATCATAGTCATTTCCTGTTATTCATGTAAGTAGTTTTGATTAATTAATTTAATAATCATGTTTAAGTTCAAAATTTTTAGGTTCTTATATATGTGTCTGTGCAGATGTTGAAACTTGAGTTGATCATGTTTCATTACAAAATTTTAGGGCTTATAGCAATGTGATTATACAGTTTGATTTGGTGTTTTCATGGCTAGTAATTTTATAATTTGTAATTATTGCAGGTTTTGGGAATTTATTGAATAATTTTGTACGTTGAGCTGTTCTATCAAAAGGGTTAAGATGGTGTCGGTGTTAGCCCTAGGGGATCTTCACATACCCCACAGGGCACCTGATCTGCCAGCAAAGTTCAAGTCTATGCTTGTTCCTGGGAAGATCCAGCACTTCATTTGCACTGGATATCTATGCATCAAAGTGAGTACTGTTCTTCAATTATATATTCTTATGTTTAATGGTTTTCTTTTTCTTATTGATTCAGGTCTAATTTGCTATAGCGGTATTGGATTATCTAATTTCCACTGTAAAATTTATGGATTGTTCATTCTTCTTGCATTTTGATGTGTCCGTGACTTATCTCCTCCAAGGTCTGTTTGTTAAGCTTCATACAAGTTTTACCATATTCATAAAGCACCTAACCTAGATAAAAAGCAGTCTATATGGTTCGATGTCTCTGGTTCAACTCACCTAGAAGGTGTTAGATAATACTTTATGCTAGGGTTGTAACTTACTTTCTAGGTATATACTATGTACTACTTGGTGTTAGCCTTAGGGGATCTTCACATACCCCACAGGGCACCTGATCTGCCAACAAAGTTTCCAAGTCCAAGCTTGTTCCTGGGAAGATCTATGGGGGCACGAAATTTGCAATGGTGAACTTGAGTCTTGTAGGCTGTAGAAAATGCAGATCTTTACCACCAGTCAAACAACTACCCAAGCTCAAAGAGTTATGCATTAATAGCATGCATGGCGTACAAAATTTGGGGGATGGACTTCCTTTTCCATCACTAGAGACACTGATATTTGAGGACATGCCGGGATGGGAAAAATGGTCTTCTATTTCCACTGGTGCTGAAGAAGCTGGAAGTCAATTCCCTCGCCTCCGTTATCTTAGTATGTGTGGTTGTCCCAAATTGGTTAATGTTTGCCCTTTAAGTCTTCCATCTCTTAAAAAATTATACTTGGAAGAGTGTGAGGAGGCGGTGCTGAAAAGTATAGTTGGCGTAACCTCACTAATTAGCTTGGAAGTTGTAAATATTAGAGGGCTATCTCAGCTTGAGGAAGCATTGGTGCAATCTTTGGTAGCACTTAAAAGACTTGTGTTCAAAAAATGCAACCAACTATGGCAAAATGAAGGACTGCATTGCATTAATCTTCGGGATTTGTGGATAGAAGATTGTGCGAGTCTTGAGAGGTTGCCAAATGAGGTGAGTAAGCTCACTTCTCTCACAATTGATGGGTGTTCAAAACTTTTGTGCTTTGCAAATGCAGGTGTCCCGTCCTTGCTTAGAAGACTTGAGATAAGGGATTGCAATGCGTTGAAGTCCCTTCCTGAAGGCATTTCTGGTCTTAAAAGATTGGAGATCGGTAAATGTGAATCATTGAGTTCCTGGCCCACTGAAAATATGTCACCCAACACTCTTGAGTATCTTAATATTCGCAATTGCATGAATTTGGAGTACTGGTAATCGGAGACGACTATGCTACAGCAGCAGCGATAGGAGGAGGACTTCAACCTCAAAATTATCGTGTCGTCACTTGAAACATTAAGCATCTGGAATTGGCCAAAAGTTGGAATGTTAGTTGGTGGTTGTGTAAAGAATAACAATTTTGCTAGTCTCCGTGAACTGAATATATGGTATTGCGATGGTCTGGAGTCCTTGTCGTTCCCAGAAAAAGGATTACCCAACCTCAGATCACTTGAAGTCTTTTATTGCGAGAATCTGAGATCCTTGCCTACGACCAACCAGATTCTTCAAAACCTCAATTTCCTACGTATAAATCGATGTCCAATTCTCAAGGACTTTCCGGAAAGAGGCTGCTGCTTGTCCCACCCCCCAACTTGAGATCGCTTTGGATCAGCGGCTGCAATAATATGAGGTCGTTGCCAATTATCAGATTCAAAGTTTGGCATCACTTGAATCCATATGGATAGATGATTGTCCATGCGTTGAGTCCTTTACCCAATGCAATGGGAATGGGAATTTGCCCCCCAGCCTATTTCAGCTTACTATTCACCGTTGTGGGAAAGTGCTGAAGCCCTTGTCAGAGTGGGGTCTGCACAGACTCATCTCTCTTCAACTACTCAGCATTGAAGGTGGATATCAAGACCTGGTCTCTTTTCCTCCTGATGACTGTATACTTCCTACAACTTTAACCAAATTACGCATCAAAGATTTGCCGAGTATGAAATCCATATCACTAGAAGGCCTTCAAAATCTCACCTCTCTTCAATATCTATGGATCGAAGACTGCCCATATCTGAAATCCATATCATCATCATCTAGGGGGACAGGTGGTGGCAGTGGCCTCCAAAATCTCACCTCTCTTCAACGTCTACAGATGTATAAGTGCCCTAAGCTTCGATCCTTACCAAAGGAAGGTCTGCCTTCCATGCTTCATTGTTTAGAAATCAATGAATGTGCACTCCTTGAAAAACGGTGCCAGGAAAATAAAGGTGATTACTGGCCCAACATTGCCCACATCCCCTACATCGGAATACATACCATTAAACTTCACTGTCAGTCAAGTAAGCTCGTGTTCCACAGTCTCTCTCATGCCTCTTATTTTAATCGTTCATCACCCACATCACACATGAATGGAAAATATGCATTTTTTGACTTAAAATTTTGACTTGACCAATATGCATTTTTTCCTACCCCTTTTTAGTATCTTCTCTTTTAAGATTTGTTTTGGTTCACTCAATTGCAGTGTAATGGTCCTCAATTTTACATCTATGGAGTGCATCTGTTGTTGGCTAATGAACTCTTTGCTTGGGGCAAAACAAGTACAACTAATTCACACTTTTCCAAGACTCGGGTGATACTTCTTCTTCATTCTTTCATAGCCTTCTCATTTTCATATCATGTTTAGCCTTTTAAATAATACATTCATGACATCCTCCTACACAAAGATTATTTCTATTTATCTTTCTCTTCATTTAGCAAAAGAGAAATAAAATAAATAAATAATATAAAAACAACAGCCTGTTGGGCAAATTGTGAACATGAAACTTCTGTGTCACAAATTTTGTAAGAATATCAAGTGAATTTTCCGTCTTCTTAAGGAATTGTTCTAAATTTCATTACACCTTGGAACTTCAGTTTCAACAATTATAATTCCCACATGATGTTCAAAATTATTCTTAGCAGAGTTAGAATCTATCGTCATTGGAGGATTTATGGGAACATGGTGTCACGAAGTGATTCCTAACGATGCCATGAGTATGGAAGACACGCATGATGGTTGGCAAAGAGCAGAGATTGACTGAGAATGATTCCAGGGAAGGGGCGTGCAGGACCACAGGATGGTACCTCTTCAGAGTTGAGGCAGGTTGACTTGGTTCAGTTCGACGAGTTTATCGCTGGTCGTGGACTTGACTATGAAGAAGGGAGTTGGCCATCCCTGCACAAATTAGTAGGGAGCTGGAGCCGTTCCCCTGACGAGGTCGAGGCAGGTCCAAACCAGTTAGCATGTATTCTTGGGAGGCCAGGTCATGGTGGTTGATCAGGGTGCTTGCGCGAGTTGAAGCAACTCCTTGGTGCCGCACAGGCCGTGCCGCTGTGCCAAATCTCTAAGCCCGTGACAAATGGTATCAGAGCAGGACTTGGGCTAAGCACAGAGGTGTGCCCCCTTGTCGATCCAGGGGTCTGAGAAAGAAGACAGTGCATTGAAGTAGCGTCGATGGGGAATCAATGCAGTTGGAGGAGAACCTTCATCTTCTCAGGAAGAAGCGTCCTTTGAAGTTGCGCATCGGAGGGTCGGAGGGCCGTGCGCACCAAAGTTTGTGCGAGCTCCTTGGGTGATGCAAACCGTGGAGAACGGCGGGCATTGTACACAAATTTCGTAGTCTGCAAATAAAGAACAAAATAAGGAGCAAATATAATTTTATTAATTTATAAAAATTTGAGTACAATCCTTTGAGATATTCTTTACAAAAGAAAGAAAATATCCTTTGATTCGATCTCCTTTGTTGGTTGGATTTAAGGGCTGTTGGAGCTTGAACTTGAATTAGTTTGTTGGCAATCTTCTTCAAGTATTTGTAAATGAGGAAGACCGCTGATGATTTCTGATCGAGGGCTGATGAAGCTTGATCTTGAACAGTGTTGCTTAGTGATTCTTCAAACTTATTGAATCGCAGGGAAAGAACGGTATTTTGATGTGCTTGTTGTTCTTTGTTGAATTTGGAAAGAACGGCAAGGTTTTGATGTGCTTGTTGTTCTTTGTTGAATTTAAGGAAGAACGGCACGACTTTGGATTGGATGTGCTTGTTGTTCTTCGTCTTCAGAGAATTTGTGGAAGAACGGCACGGCTTTGGTTGTGCTTGTTGTTCTTTGCCTTCAGAAGATTTGTTGAATTTGATGAAGAACGGCACCGCTTTGGTTGTGCTTTTTGTTGATCACTGTGGAATTTTGATGAACAACATGATTTGATGTGCTTGTTACTCTTCGCCTTCAGGTTTGGGTGTTAGGGATGCATGTCGGCAGAGCTTCTGTATTTCTCTCTAGAATTCTAGATTTCTAGAGTTCTCAATTTCTGTCCCTCTAAATTTCTGGCCTTTGGATTTTTGAGTCTCTCAATTTTTGGACCCCTTTCCTCCTTCCTCCATTCCTTTATTTATAGGTTTCTTGAATTAATAGGATGATGACATGTGTCCTCTCTTGATAAGGACAAAATCATAACTGTTCGGACCGGTTATATTATGATAATTATCCATATATTGTGATAATTATCCATAAAAATAATTACTCCAAATATATTTTATTAAGAATTATTATCTTTTTATTTAAACACCTGGACTGGGCTAATTAAATAATTTAAGTTGACCAAGTTTGGGCCAATTAAATAATTTAACTAATTATGAGACCCATATTTGATGGACCAATTTGTCAAGGGAAAAACCGATGAAATTTTAGTGTCTACATGCATCAAGTCGGCAGGAGGCCTTTGCTTGCTCGGGATGTCAGGGAGGTGGCATGACGAAGAGTTGCGTCCTAGAGGAGTGGACGTCCCCTTGGTCCGAGACATATCATTGGGCGAGTGCAATGCAGAGGTTGCACAAGGAAGCGATGGTGGGAAGGCGAGCATACAACTTGGAGGCTGACTTTGGAAAGGAGTGGACACAGTGGAGCAGCGCCGTACTACGACGAGGGCGTCACAGGATTCAGGTGGGAGAGTGTCACGAAGTGATTCATACTGACTCCATGAGTATGGAAGACACGCATGTTGGTTGGCAAAGAGCAGAGATTGACTGGGAATGTTTCCAGGGAAAGGGCGTGCAGGACCACATGATGGTACCTCTTTAGAGTTGAGGCAGGTAGACTCGGTTCAGTTTGAGGAGCTTGTCGCTGGTCGTGGACTTGACTATAAAGAAGGGAGTTGGCCATCCCTGCATAAACTGGTCGGGAGCTGGAGCTGGAGTCGTTCCCCTAACGAGGCCAAGGCAGGCTGAAACCAGTCAGCATGTATTTTTGGGAAGGCAGGTCATGGTGGTTGACCAGGGTGCTTGCGCGAGTTGAAGCAACGCCTTGGTGCCGCACGGGTCGTGCCGCTGCGCCAAATCTCTAGGCCCGTGACAATGGGCTAGCTGTGAACATCATTCTTATGGATTTATCGGAGCACTCTGAGCCACAATTTCTTTTTTCTTCTTGTTCTTCTTCTCATTGATGTGGTTTTTGTCTTATTTTCTTTTGAAGATTACCTTCCTCTGAAATTGATGAGAGAATTTTAGGAGTTGGTAAGTATAATAAGAAAATTCTACTTTTCTGTGAAAAAGTGATTGGTTTTTGATGATCATATAGAAAAGTAAAAGTGATATGAGTACTGTAATTGAAGGGAAATTTTGTAGCAGTGTTAAGAAGTGATTTGTTTTTGCCTAAATTTGAAGGGAATATTTGTTGTGGGGGACATAGCAAGAAAGTGGACTATGATATCAACTGGAGAAAAATGGAGGGATTTCAAGTCCAATCTGAAAAGGATTATTATTTGTGTTGGGATTTTGATGAAGAAAGATTGGCCAATGTACCAATGGGAGTATCTAGTCAAGTTTTGTAGTTCAAAGGAGGGGGAGGTGATCCTTTGGGTAATAGTTATGTTTCTAATGATATAAATGATCGATTTTGTATTATGCTAATTCTGACAGTCCTTATTTTTCTTTTTGAAGAGCCAAAGTAGAAGAAATCAAGAAAACCGCACAAAGCAAAATATGCCTTGTACAACTGGAACACTGGGCAATGCATGTGTGGCTCAACAGGTTTATTGTTTCTTTAACAATTTGAATTACACATTTGATAGTTATTTATGCATTTGAGCTACATATTAACAATATATATGTCATTTTTTATAGATAAAAAATTAGGGAGAGCGCTAACCTGTGCAGAACTATATTGCAAGACACAGGTTCACAAAGTTGGCACACCTAGTGATGAAGGTTTCTGAATAAGTTATAGTAAGACTTCTTTTCTGTACATATTAATAGTTCAAGTTTGGCTTGGTGTGCAAAATTTTGGTGACGCAATTCATTTAGAAGATGTGATGAGCTTGAACTCATTATTAGAGCATCTCCAATGCTAAAAGTCATTTTTGCATGCCAAATCTATATTTTGACAGGTGCTACAATGTCAAAATGCTACATTTTAGCAATTCTGCTCCAATGGTGCATTTAATGCAAAATGTTATTTTTTGACACAACCACCACTCTTTTTCAACTACCATTCCCACCATTCATATTTGCATCAGTAATATTAATATTAGGCACATTCCAAGTAAAGTTGTAGACATTAGAAGGAAACTAAAATTAAATCTAATTTAAAAGAAGCAAAAATCTAAAATATCTGGTCAAAAAAAGACCAAAAACAAAAAAAAAAACAATATTTTTACCACTATTTGTGAATTAATTTTTTTATATAATTTTATTTTTCTTTTTCGGAAATATATATATATATGTATATTATATATATTTGATTATATTATTATTAAAAATATATATATTTTTAGGGCAAATCATTTCCGCCTCCCCAATCGCCTCCATCTCTATTCTCATTCTCATTCTCAACTCTCTCTGTAACTACAAACTACCAGATCTAGAAGAATCAAAAGTTCAAAACCCATATATTTTAGTTGATCTATCTGTCTGCAAGAATCAAAAGTTCAAAACCTAAGACCTATATCAAAACCTATATCGGCATATCATCTCAGATTGTTCAAAAAATCAAAACCCATATCTTTCAGTTTCCATCGCCCGCTGTTCCAGTTCGGGTTCGCCGTTCGCAAGCTTCAGCCGCTGTCTCTCAACTCAGTCCACCAAGAAACATCAAGAAAGAAAATCACCGTCTTCGTCGGAAGAATCCCAGGGATAGAATCCAAACGGATCGTCGCCGAGGAAATTGCCAGAATTGGAAGCTTTTGTTCTGAAATGGACGAAGGACGAGAGCGATTGAGGGCGAAGAAGTAGAAGTGAGAGAAGAAGAAAGAGTGGAGAAGCAGAGGGCACCGGTTTCTTCCTCTGGTTCAGATCGGATGATTTTCCCTCTCTATACTATCAGTAATCGGAATTTTTTTCTCTCTATATTACAACAGACAAGGAGAGAGAGAGAGAGATGCGAGTGGGTGATGACTGATGAGAAACAGCATCGTATTGGAAAATGAGAGACTTGCCAAAAAAAATTGGCAGTTGGTATATGTGAGAGAAAATTTGAGAATCCCAAATTTTGAGAGCCCAAATAAGAGCCCATTGGAGAGGCCTTTTTTTACCCAACTCTCATATTTTGAGTTTGAGAGGCCCAAATGAGAGAGCATTGGAGTTGCTCTTAGGGCTCAATTAGGAGGCCCCAACACTGTTCTTATTGATTTGTATTCATTCATGAATACAGTGTTGACTGATGTACTTCTTTTGGACTGTAGTTCCAATGCAATTTTAACAGTAAGATTAATGTGAAATTATTTTAAGACTACCGTAAAGTAAATTGAAGCCAACAAGTGCAAAGACATCAACAAGTGGAAATAACAACACCATTTAAACTGTCCCAGTTAGGTTGGGGCAGAACTAGTATGGACCTTTTGCAAATTCATTGGCTCAACAAATGGATAAAAGTACTTCGAACAATTCTTAGTGAAGCATGTGTACCTTTACCGAGTCCGATTTTGAGTGTTCGTAGATGCTTGGAAGTGGCTTTGCAAGGTGTATGAGAGAGAAATTCGGCTCCAAATATTTTTCTGAAGTTTTTTTTTTGGTTAGTTGAACAAGCTGAACTATTTTGTTGTGGCTAAATTTGGTCTGATCTTTTGAGCCGGGATAAGCTTGGGCCTGAATATTCAATTTGCTGCTTCCTGAAATGGGCTAGATCTGACTAATTTAAATTTGAGTTTGGTCAAATCTGGTTTATAAGGGAAACAAAATACTCCCTCCGTCCCGCAAAGAGTGTCGTGTTTAGGGAACCGTGTCAGTTCAATTTGTGAGAGTCACGGTTCCCTGAAAGTGACATTTTTTATGGGACGGAGGGAGTATATCCTTTCCAAACCCAAATCTGAACTTTCCAAACCAGACGGAATAATCCAAAGTTGACTTTTCAAAATCAGTAGCGCTGAAATTTTGATGACAATAAGGATTGCAATGACCCAAAGTTGATTTTCCAAAATCAGTCTCGCTCAAATTTTGGTGACAACTAACGATTGCAAAGATTGTAATAATCCAAAGTTGACTTTCCAAAATCGCGAAGAGGATGCTGAAATTTCGGTGAATAATTGCAAAGATCTCGGCAGACGTTGACAGATTAGTGTGAACTAGAACTGGTGACGATGATGAAGTGATGAGTTCGACGGCGAGCTCTGGTGAAAGACATTGGCTGTTATGCGATGACGGCGTGACGGTGATAGACCCTTCGGAGATGGCTGTTGGTTGCCATCGAATTTTGTGGGTAGGGTTCTAAACTGAATGGCTGCTGGTTGGTTGTTCAAGGTTTGAGAACTGGTGTGGGATTACAGGGTTTTTTTTTTGGCTTGGTTAATGGAGTTTGTGTGACGTCACGGATTTTTCAGCATTTTTTGAATTTTCGGTTTCTATTTTTCTCGATGCCTCAGTTTGTGTGCAGGGTACTGATTGGCACACCATGTGGGTTCTGAGAGTCATTTTGGTCATATCTTTGAGTTTAGAACTCCTATAAATGCATTCCGATCCATTTCGGACATTTTCGAGTTTTGGACTGGGGGGATCCTATGTGGGTCCGGGGTGTCCTAAGTGCACGGGAATGGCGAGGGCCTATGTGAATAATCATTGGAGGGCTTTATTATTATATCTCCGATGGATTGTTGCCTTAGGATAATTTCATGGAAGTTGCTCGGAGGAAGGGAGTAATTAGTTATGGAATTTTGGGGTTAAGTGATGTAACTTGTGGAAGTGATGGGGGTCTATAAATAGGAGGAGTTTGACCATTTTTCCCACTATTCACCTTTTTCCTCCCCACACTTTCTCTTTCTATATCTATCGTAATGATCTAAACCCGGGGATTCAGATCGCTAACCGGGTCCATACTCGAACCCGAGGTCACACAAGGGTACTATGGTCATTTTACGTCATTATAATAGTTTTAGAGTCCATAAGGGTATAATAGTCATTTATCATGGTCAAATAATGGTTTAGAACCCAAAAGGGCAAAATGGTCATTTAGTGCGTTCATTATAGCTTCTAAACTTGTCATGGGTAAAACTGTCATTTCCTATTGTCAGTATGTGCTTTGGTTGACGTCTAGGGGTAATTAGGTAATTATACTAAAATCTGGGGTCAAAGTGCAAATACTCGCCCATCTAATCGGGTACATGATTTCATCTAACCGGTTAGATGGCTTAGTCTAGAGAACATGCAAAACTAAGGACCCATCTAACCGGTTAGATGACCCCATCTAACCTCTATTATGTTTGCCACCATTTAGATAGGAACATCTAACCCATGCACTGCCCCGCCCCGCCTAACTAACCGGTTAGACAACCCTATCTAACCGATTAGATGATGCCCATAAATGAAATGGTTGATATGATCACTTCCCAAACTTGTTCAAATGTTACCCCAAGTGCATAAACATTAACTTTAAGCTCATGAACATCATCCAACTTAACATCAATGATTCATTAAAATATAACCATTCATACATTGTTGAGAATCAAATCACCGTAAAACATATATACATGTCCAAAAGAATAGGATTTCAAATTAAGGCCTCCATGGCATAATATAACGACTTCGTATGGAGTCGACAAAAGAATAAGGTCATTACATGTAGTTAATTGTTCAAAAGAATGCATTTACAAAAGATAACAAAATAATGGTCGGCATACTACTTGTTTTACCCGATCCGTGTGGGGGGGGTCGCCTTGTACGGGTCCAGTGGATTAGTCGGGGCAAAGCCCTGGACACCCCGGTTATCGAAAAATGGTTGGCATACTACTTCTAAGCTTGTGGGGGTGTATCATCCACAACATCCTTGTTATGTCCTGAAAATGTTAAGATATAGGGTGAGCATAGCGGCTCTTTAGAGATTGCCTAAAGTATACTTATTGTAATCCCGTGAATCACACCCAAAGCAAGGGATAACAAGAGAAGGGATCACACAATGGGGAAAGAGACAATTATACAACATAAGTTTAAACTTCATGCCTTGCAAATGATGTAATGAGATGCAATGGAATGCACTCTCCCCATTTCCGAAACCATTTGTGTCACAACACAACCCACACCGAAAATGTTTACACAACCCGACCCTAGGCAACTCCTAGGCATCACGAAGGGAATTGGCTAGCCATCCTTGACTTAAGGCATCTCCCTAGCGTCATTTGGGGTCTAGGTAGCTCAACTACACACTTCCAAATTCCGTCTCGTGCCCCTTTCTAGATTAGTTAACCCCGGACCACATGGCAACTCCAAGGCGTCCGTTTTTACAAAACTTTTTCGAATAAAACCTTTCAAAACTTTCAAATCAATTTTTCACAAATCGTTGGAAACCATTTTAAACATCCTTTCCAACCCAAGAACCCAACCAATGTCCATGATATGCATGCAATATACCAATCATTAACATTTCTCAAGGAAATTAACATATAGCATCATCATCATAACATGCTCTAAATCATATACGTCAAATCATCACATTTATAGCATGAATCATGTAAGGCACAATCATCTCAAAAACATTAATTTGCAATTAACAATACCTTCACATATATCATGCTTTTCAACAATTACACATAATAGAAAACTCACAAAAATCAAAGAAATTGCAATTTAAACTTCCCTACCTCAAAAGATGAACTCCAAGCTCAAGATCCAAATACGAAATCCCACCAAATGGTTGCAAGACCGGTGCTAAAACGTAGCCCTCGTAGATCTACACTTTCTCTAACTATGGCTCTTCACAAATCTCACCTTAACATAGAGAAATTCTGGAGAGAAGGTGGAGATATGTAGAGAGAGAAGCAAATGAAAAATGAGGAAGAAGGAAAAGGGGTGGCCGAAAATGGGAGAGATAGAGTGATGAGATTTAGTCCAAGGTTTGACTAGCCTTTCAAATGTGTGGTCCATTATGAGTCTTCCCCTTTGACCCACTAAAGTACCAAACTAACCCCCCCTCTTTTAAACAATCACACACGTGCCACAAAGATATCATCCATCACTAACTACACACACACACACACACACACATATATATTCTTATATATATATAACAACCATCCATGCTCAAAAAAATAAATAAATGCAATAAAATCACCGGGTCCCACATGGCGCGTAAAAAGATGCATGGAAAATAAATAAATAAAAATAAAATACCGAAAAATCCATAAAAATCTGAGACATTACATCTATACATATATCATCCACCATGTATAAGCTTTGAAAAGTTTCGATTTAGAGGCCATAACCTTTGATTTTGAGTGTACCCAAGAAGAGAAAGTTCTTCTCCTTTACACAACCATGGTGAGAAATTAGAGATTTGACTACATTGAGATTTTTGAAATTTCTAGAGGTTGGATTTGGAAAAGGGGCTAGTTAGAGAAGTTGTAGAGCATCTCTTGATCTACACAATGATGTGAATTTGGAGGCCATTGGGGCACTTGGAGATTTCAACCTAGGCTTGGGCTTGAGCTTTTGGGGTAGCTCCAAGAGGAAATATTGTTCCCCTTCTCTTCCTCTTCATTTTGATGGTGAAAGCTTTCGATTTGGCGGAGTTTCAAGCTTGGAGCAAGCTAGAGTTTTGTATCTTTGAGGTAGGGGTTTGCTTAAATTGTGTAGTCCTAAGTTGTTGTAATCAATTTCTTGTTTTTCCCTTGAAAGCATGCTTATTGTGGTGGAATTTGAGTAATTTGTGTTCTAGGGTTTTAAGCATGATCTCCAATTGCTTAATTATTGTTTGAATTGAAATCAGTGCCTTTTTATGTGTTGAAAAGCATGATGATTATGATGCTAAGTGTGCCAAATTGGAAGATTGTATTAACTATGTGTATGATTGTGTATGGTATGTGGTTTAATTGAGGTAAATGCCAAGTCTTGTGAGTTAAACTATGTCTAGAATGCTTATTATATGACAACTTGCTTACACGAGATTATCTCTTGCATTAAAGTTAAATATTATGTGGTTTGGTTGCCAATGTGAACTTCTTGATTAATTATGAGCAAAACGATGCCTATTTTTCTAATTGTAATTGTGTGTTGATGATGGAATGTATGGTTGTCCTAAATTTGTTGTAATGCATCTTCATGAAATTGTTATGGTATGGTGTTGGTGTGGATAGAGTGGTGTGTGCAACGACCCTCACCCTGGCCAGATACAATATTGTCCGCTTTTGGCTCACCCAGACCATAGACTTCCCAGGGGGTCACCCATCCTGGTACTACTCCAAGTTAAGCACGCTTAACTACAGAGTTCTGATGGGTTCACGGCCATCACGGCTTTAAAACGCGTTGTGTCATAGAAGGGTGTTGAATCTACATATAGCACTTGCCCCATCCACACCCAGACGATGTGGGATTGTGCACCTGTAGCTCGCCCAGTGTGGTAGCCTACTGGTGCCCCCTGCACACGCTCACACACACCCGCCCACAAGGTCGCCACAATCACCCCCCTTTGGGGCCCAACGTCCTCGTTGGCCACACTTCCGGCTGGGTTAGGCTCTGATACCATTTGCAACGACCCTCACCCTGGCCAGACACAATATTATCCGCTTTTGGCTCACCCAGACCAGAGACTTCCCAGGGGGTCACCCATCCTGGTACTACTCCAAGTTAAGCACGCTTAACTACAGAGTTCTGATGGGTTCACGGCCATCACAGCTTTAAAACGCGTTGTGTCATAGAAGGGTGTTGAATCTACATATAGCACTTGCCCCATCCACACCCAGACGATGTGGGATTGTGCACCAGTAGGCTACCACACTGGGTGAGCTACAGGTGCACAATCCCACATCGTCTGGGTGTGGATGGGGCAAGTGCTATATGTAGATTCAACACCCTTCTATGACACAACGCGTTTTAAAGCCGTGATGGCCGTGAACCCATCAGAACTCTGTAGTTAAGCGTGCTTAACTTGGAGTAGTACCAGGATGGGTGACCCCCTGGGAAGTCTCTGGTCTGGGTGAGCCAAAAGCGGACAATATTGTGTCTGGCCAGGGTGAGGGTCGTTGCGGCCGTGAACCCATCAGAACTCTGTAGTTAAGCGTGCTTAACTTGGAGTAATACCAGGATGGGTGACCCCCTGGGAAGTCTCTGGTCTGGGTGAGCCAAAAGCGGACAATATTGTGTCTGGCCAGGGTGAAGGTCGTTGCAAATGGTATCAGAGCCTGACCCAGCCGGAAGTGTGGCCAACGAGGACGTTGGGCCCCAAAGGGGGGGTGAATGTGGCGACCTTGTGGGCGGGTGTGTGTGAGCGTGTGCAGGGGGCACCAGTAGGCTACCACACTGGGCGAGCTACAGGTGCACAATCCCACATCGTCTGGGTGTGGATGGGACAAGTGCTATATGTAGATTCAACACCCTTCTATGACACAACGCGTTTTAAAGCCGTGATGGCCGTGAACCCATCAGAACTCTGTAGTTAAGCGTGCTTAACTTGGAGTAGTACCAGGATGGGTGACCCCCTGGGAAGTCTCTGGTCTGGGTGAGCCAAAAGCGGACAATATTGTGTCTGGCCAGGGTGAGGGTCGTTGCACTACCACACTGGGTGAGCTACAGGTGCACAATCCCACATCGTCTGGGTGTGGATGGGGCAAGTGCTATATGTAGATTCAACACCCTTCTATGACACAACGCGTTTTAAAGCCGTGATGGCCGTGAACCCATCAGAACTCTGTAGTTAAGCGTGCTTAACTTGCAGTAGTACCAGGATGGGTGACCCCCTGGGAAGTCTCTGGTCTGGGTGAGCCAAAAGCGAACAATATTGTGTCTGGCCAGGGTGAGGGTCGTTGCAGTATGTAGGAAGTCGTGGGTGAAAACGAGTTTTGCAAATTTTGTGGAGTAAAGGTTTTTCTTAAAACCGGTCTTGGGGAGGTACCTCTTTAACGGCGGTACTAATTGGCTATAAGGACGGAAGGAGCTACCCAAAGTCCGGCCACTTAGTACACTTTTGATGTGAGTGTGTATGAGTCGGTTGTGTGTGTGGTTTAGACACATAATGCATGACATACATTTGATATTTGAATCCTAGTTTGTGTCCTTGGTGGTTGATTGGTGAATTAAAGTCCCTTGCATGATCCCTCTCCATCTTACTATGCTCCTACGTGTTTGTTGCCATGGTTACTCGACTCGAGGAAACGCCGTTTAGGCATCCTCTACTGAGCGGTGGTGCTTACCCCTTTATCTTAAACAATTTCAGGTTTTGGAAGTGACGGAGCAGATGACACCCTTTATATGCTAGGGGCGTAGTTAGGGAATTAGTTGGCATCTTGTAATCCATGCTATCATTTGTAAAAGTTTTGGGTATAAACATGTAATATTTTATAATCGTTTTGACGTTAATGTAGATGTATTATTTCGGTTGTGTATATTTGTTTAAATCACCTCATTTGGTCACAAAGATGTAGCCGGATTTAATTTTGATGAAAGAATGATGTACCAATTTCATTTAATGTTGAAATGTCATTTTATCATTATGTGAGTATGTATTTATGGTGATTGGGCAGACTTTGCATGGTCTAAGTGACCAATTCTTGACTGGGGGGAGAAAACAATTGAAATGGGAGTTAGAGCCACTTTCTGGGCTTGGAGGACCGGTCATTCCTTTGAAAGTTCAAAATTTTGGCCCAAACTTCGCCAGTGAGTTTATGTTTGGATGACCGGAAGCCAGAATCTACGACAGGTCATTGCTTGTCATGCAATGCGCCAGCGTGCTCGGAGGTGTCCATGGTGCTGGACGACCGGTAGCGAGAACCTATGACCAGTTGTCGCTTCCATACTTGGCTAAATTTCTCTCCCTTTCTTGCATTTTCAAACCGAACTTCGTGAAATCATAACTCTCTCATTTCAAAACCAAATGGGGTCGTTCTTTAGTTTAAATTGCACGTTTTTTAGTCACCTTTCTAATGGCATGGATCTTGTCCTGAAATTCTGATTGAAATTGACCATTTTACCCTTGTGAATCTCAAGGTCCCAGAGTGGACCCAAAGTTAAGGCTACTTCTATGTTCCGAGGTGGTTAGAAGCACCCATTACGACCTCGTTATGATGTTTATTGCATGGTAAGGAGTATAATGACCATTTTGCCCTTCGTGTCCTCGGGTCCTAACCGATTCAGACCCCCAGGTTCGGGTTGTTACAGTTTAAGAACGTATTATGTTTGGTGGCAGATGGTGGAGGCTGCGTTGTGTTTTAATTGATGACCAGTAATCAAAACAGTAACTTAGAGATTGTTATGAACACTGAAAGATTTTCTTAAGTATTTGCTTTGAATAAACTTGATCGTTTTGCTCTGATACCAATTGACGCGGGACAAGTAGTGTTTTGATAGTAACCAGAAAGAAATAAAGGGGTGAGAAAATAGAAGAATAGATAGACTAGAAGAAGGGGATGAGAAAATAGACGAAAGGGGCTGAGAACAGAGTGAATAGACAGGTAGGATAGACTGAACGGGTGAGAAAAGCAAGAACAGAAATGGGAGAAACATTAGAACACAGAGAGAGACTCAAAGAACGATAATCAATAATCTCCAAAACTAAGTTCCCAAATTACAAAGGAGCTTTTAAATAGGCAAATTATTAAGAAAACCCTAAAAAATAAAAATACCAAAATAATCCTAAAATTCAAACATGATAAAAAATAACAATAAACATAAATAAAACCCTAAATCACTAAAATCCCCAATTTTATTTCTCTTTCCCTCTCCTCCAAAAGTAATGTTGAAGCATGTGCTACTCATGTATCCGAGTCGTATCCCGTTCCCCATCACTTCTACATTTACAGGGAGGAGGCCCTATTTTAACAGCCCTTTGGGGCTGCTTGTGGACATCAACCCTTGTTCATATGTGCGTCACACCTTTTTGGGGCTGCTTGTGGACATCAACCCTTGTTCATATGTGTGTCACACCTTTTTAGACATCACAGAGAGTCTATCTTTTTTGTTTCTAATTATCCTGAAAAGATTGAATTTTACAAAGGAACTATGACAATGTCATTACACCTTCGACCTTCAAATTCAATAATAATCATTTTTCTTGTTGCGTAACATTATTATTGGCTGAGTTATAATTGTGTTGTCATTGGAGGATCTATGGGAGCATGGGGCCGGCTATGAACACTCTTTTTTTTTTTTTTTTTCTTTTTTATCTTATTCTCTTCTGAAGATTACCAATCTTTAAAATTATATTGCCTTCTATGGGTTCAATTGAATCTGAGGTGGAATTATTTTTTTGCATTCTTCTCATAAAATGTCTTCTAGATAGTGTCCTTGAAAACTGACGATATGCAGTTATTTCCTGTTGGACTGACTTACATCATGGTTAGCCAAAAGGAATTTGGTTAAACTAATTGTCTTTTTCACCAGGACAGTTGAATTTTTCTGCAAACATTAAAGTATGCAGTGATCTAATGACCATTTGATTAGCCAAAGAACCAAAGTTCTCCTTGATTGGTCAAAATAGGGTAATCAAGCTAGCTTTATAAAATCGTGTATTGTTGTGCAACAATAGGGAAATTTTTGTTTGTTTTCCCTCCATTTTAGCCATATTGATGTAATTAAATTTTTTTTTTTCTATCAAATTTTCACACAGAGCACTGGCATATCCACTGGGGGAGTTCTAGTTAAAAGAAGAGGAAGGATTAAAATTCATTAATCCTCAAGCACTTGAAGCTGATCGTGCATAAAAGAAAAGCAAACTGAACGATCTCCTTTTTCACAACATCTACTGATGATAATCTGGAAGCCCTATTTTAATAACTTGGTCACTTGATTTACTTTTAAATTAACTTAATTACTTTGTAGATTTATTGGACCTAGCATAGATGCAATTCTAGCATTTTAAGTTTGATGATCATTATACTCATAACTATATGATTTGATTTCATTGGTTGAGTCTCCCTTCCCAGAAAATAGAAAGTCCTGATGTTAACTCTTATCTCATGCCCCAAGATTCGATGAATCTTGCCATCTGACCTGTAAAATCCTTTAATTTCTTTAATGATTAATGTGACTAATGACCTGGAAAGGATATTGTTCATATTATATATATGTATATATTATAGTAGAAGGCTAGGCAGAAAACCTTGTTTTGCATATATTTCTCTCATTTGATATTCATACTTGCCCTGGACAACCTATTTTTGCTCATTCTTTCCATGAAACCTACCACTGCTCAAGGACTGAATCACACATATATTTTGATATATGCCCTCAGCCTCAGGGTCTATCTAACCTGGACCAAATTGAGGTATATAACGTATACCATTTTGCAAAAGATGATCAATAGATAATCTCATTGCCTTATCTGCAATGTCTAGTCATAGGAAGAAACATTTTTCATATTATCTTCCTAAAAACCATATATAATTGAAGTCCTTCCATTTAAGCCAAGTCCAAAAATGGTGAGATTGTAATTTACTATAATCTTACCCAACAAGTACAGTTATGGTTGTTTTCAACTTGTCGGTATATGTTAGAGTTAATTTTATTTAGAGGTTTATTGCTATGAGATAATATTTTTTGGTTCGTATTTTTAGTATTTACTTAGAGAATTGTCTAGACACCGTAGATCTGCAATGAGGCTACCACTTGTCTGGCAACATAATATTTAAGAGTATCCTTCTCATCTACCTATGTTATTCCAGCTCCCAAGGTTAAGTTGTGAACATGGTTCGAATGTCATGGAGGTCTGAGTTCTATGATTTAGGGTGCCCAAGAAGGGTGACTCTGCATACTTATGGATGCTTGAAGGAGGAATTATGGAGTTGCACAATGTAGTGTTGACTTGATTTATCTTAGTTTTGAAAGTTCTGTATCTGCCCTTGTTTGAAGGAGAAGTGATTTTAAAGGATCGTACACTCGCATGACTCTTTTTCACTCTATGTTTTGAAACTCACATGAATAACTAGTAATTATTGAGAAATAGCCCAAGGATACTTATTACTGTTTGAAAGTTTCAAATAGTTATAATCCTTTAGCATATGTTGCATGGATGTATAGATGACTGTAGTAAGATGTGAGCATTTTGAACAGTTGAGGCAGATAATTAGTTGTAGCAATGTTGATTTCTTGTGCCAAATGATTTGATTGGGTTAAGCTTTCAGAAGTGCAGGTTCATAAAAAAGATAAAAAACAAGTCCAAGAATTGCATCAAATTAGTCTTGGAAATTTCGTAATATGGTATTGTGATTGAAGTAAGAGTTTTCTATTCATGATTGGCCGTAGCTTTGGTATATTTGGACTGGTTCGGGTTGTCTATCTAAGAATAGGTAAGAGTTTTCGATTCAGGTTGTCTTTCTATGAATAGGACTAACTAAACGTTCATTTCTGTTAGTGATTAGTATCTTTCAATATATATCCTTAATAATGTTTCATTTGATATGTTTACACTTGGGCATTTGCATGACGTAGGGGATTCTAGAATAGAGTTGAAGATTAACTTGATAAACTTGGCTAGAGGAGAACAAATATTATTGAAGATTCGAGCATTGCGTTGTTTTCCATAGACGATGAACAAGAACCCTGCTTGATTTTGCTTTAGATCTCCAATTCAAGAATGCCCATATATATTAAGAATGGAATGCCTGCCATTAGAAAGTACAAAGAACAACACAAATATTGAAAATGATTCCAAATAGTATAGGAGAAACTACACAGAGAAAAAGAAAAGGATTGTGTTTCTTCAGCCAAGAGGCACAGATTGCATTATGCATACATTAGGTTGGTGCAAAAGCCTTACGACAGGATTATCCTTTGTATAGAGTCTTTCTAAAGCTGCAATCCATAAACAGAAAAACATTTGGGAATGGATGGCCGAAACTAGATTAAGGACTGCCAGTTTATGTTGTTGGTAATTGGAGGGGAGGGATGGGATAAGAATTCCAAGGTATGACCTAAGTCACATAATACGTCTAAACGGGTGTCGCTCCTGCGCTCCGCGCACGCTCTTTCTTCCGATCTCACTATGTGTGAGTTAAATTTTATCGTTTTCATGCTCCCGCTCTCGCATCTGCTTTGTGTGACATTTTGGGTATGACAAAAAGAAACTTTACCATTCGGGGAAGGCTTCCACAAGATGATATCTTTGTGAGATGAATTAGTGTTAGGTATATTTGATGGATTAATGTTAAGCCAAGGTACTAAATAGGTATTCCAATCTCGATCAAACAAAGCCAAATTGTTTGACAATAGAAGATTGGGTTTGATAGGGAACTTCCGATAAGAAAGTAAAAGAATGTTATTTGGAAGCATGTTATTTGCTGTATTTAATGATTTCGTTGATGCCTTTTTCATATGTTAATTAATTTCCTTGTTTCATATAAAAAAAAAAACCGTAGATAAATTAAAAATAAATTGTATCTAGTGTGAGGGGAACCTTTACATTGACCTTTTGGGCCATCTTAAGCATGATGATGAGACCGGATGGGAATTGCTTCCCGAATCGCTTGAGAGCTCACCACAACTAGAAACTCTTGTTTGTGAGGTGAAGTACTAAGCAATTTGATTGAACTAGTTTGTTGTAATGAAATTCGAAGTTATTTGTGCAATTACACAACAGTTGAAAGTTTTAATATTTCCTTTTCTGTTAGGCACTTTTTTATGACGGAAGAAAATATTTTTATTATGGAGGAGGAGGTAGAACCTACCGATTTGGTTTGGCATTTGCCAAGGAATGTGCCTTCCTGTTTGTTGTTTCACCTCAAGGTCGTTGAAATTAGGTATTTTTATGGGAGGAGTGATGAACTGAAAATGGCAAAGTATATCTTGAAGAATGTTCTTTCCTGTTTGTTGTTTCACCTCAAGGTCGAGCATTGTGTTCTTTCCATACATGATAAACACAAGCAACATCAGTGAGTTCAGAAACAAGAACCCTGCTTGATTTTGCTTTGGATCTCCAATTCAATAATGCCCATATAGGATATGAATGTCAATCATTAGGAAGCACATGAACACAACACAAATATTGAAAATGATTCCAAATTTATGTGTTTCTTCAGCCGAGAGACCGCGTATTACATACATTAGGGTGGTGAAGAAATCTTAAAGCAGGATTATTCTTCGCAGAGTTACTTTAGAGCTGCAATCCACAAACAGAAACAATGTTTGGGAATACAAGGCTGAAACCAGATCAAGGGCTGCTAGTTTATGTTGGTGGTGATGGAAGGTGAGAGATGGGATAAGAATTTCAAGGTATGATGAAAAAGGAAATTTAGCATTTGGGGAAGGTTTCCACAAAAAGTTATCTTCTTGAGATGAATTAGGGTTGGGGATAGTTTCCCACCTTTCCTTCCACTGTTAAACTTTGTGCTGAATTAAGTCCCTTGCAATATGCCCCTACTGGAGTAGTTTTTCCCAACACCAGGATGAGTTGTTGTTTGGAATCTCAACTGTCCAAAAACTCCACCTGGACTAAATATTTTACATCCAAACAAACGGAAAAGCCGTAGTGCTGCCTCTGTTTTTCAAAAAAAAAAGCACACACACACACACAATTACGCACACATGCACACAGATATCAGAAAACTTGAGCTTTTTAGTCTCTCATGAAGCCACCATGGTGAGTTGGTGACTGAATGGAAATACTTTTTAATCCAAATTGTTGCTGGAGAAAGTAGAAAAATGTGCTTATCAACTTTCTTGTGAAAGCCAAATTTTATGGTTTTTGACATACGAAATGGCTTAAGTCAGATGATTTAATTAATTAATTAACAGTCTTAAAATCAAACATAGCTAATTTGCTTTTAAATGAAATATAATGTTATAAAAATTAGGGTTAAAATTTTAAAACTCCTGTCCACTCTTAAAATCGTGCATAAAATCCTCTGGTTAATTAAAAAAAAAAAAAATCATAAAACAACAAAATTTATCAAATTACTCCAAAACTAATAACCAACCCGATAAATGGGTTGTGAAATATCAATTTTGACTTTATTATTTAATATTAAATTAAAACCTACAATTATTATTGTTTTAATTTCACTACGGTTTGATCAAATATCACACAAAAATAACCTTTCCAAAATTACTATTACTTAGACCTCAAATCACTTTTCCGTTAAGTTTAATGTCAAAAAATCATAAATGACAATTTTACCCCTATTATTAAAATTTATTTTAAATCAAAATATCAACTAACTTAAAAGACAATTTTACCCCTCATTAATTACCTCTTACACCTATCCACCCCACTTCTGTCAATATCATTCTCTCTCTTGACCATTTTGCTGAAGAACCTCCTCTACGTTTCACCAAGCTCGCATGTTCCTCTTCTCCTCCTCTCAATATGATAATCAGAATCATTCCAATCAAATCTCCTTTCTGGGTGTAAGAATTGGTAAATCCAAAGAGAGAACGATCGAAGGTGCAACAACTTCATAGGATCGACTCTATCAAATTTCATCGCCGATAACACCATCCAATCGTAGACGACGATCTTCTGGCTCTCACCATGAAATCGCTGACGGCCATCTCGTAAATTTCTGCAATACTTCTTATATCTCTCTATCTGGTTCCAACTTTCCTTTAATTTCTTTTTACTTCTTTGCACAAAACCCACAATCAAAATCTCTCAGTATTAGAGAACTGGTTGATTTCCTTGAAATTAAACTTTATTCCCATTCCAAATTATTAGAGAACTGGTTGATTTTCTTGAAATGCGAGTTGGAAATAATAGAAATAAGTTTTTCCATGCTTGAACCTTACCAATTCATTCTCTATCGAGGCTTGTTCTATATTCACATTAGAAGGAAATTAATAACTCAATTATTCGTCTACATGTAAGTAACTCTGATAAAGTAACAACAATGTCAGCAAGTATATTAATCAATAACATTGTTTTCAGGCATGGCTGGCTATGGAAAATTCCAAAAATATAAAATCATTCGTAAAGTTCCTCTTAATGACCAATTCAAACAAATGAATAGATATCATTTAAGTTGCAAAAATAAAAAAATAAATTATTTTTCCAGTAAATATTTAGGTTTGCTTCAATTGAATGCTACATTTTTAAAAATAATAATAATAATAATCCATAATTGCAATAAGGACGTGGTTGTGTTGAGACTCTGGGTTGACGCCATCGGGTCACTGTCCAACCTTCTACAAGCAATGATAAGTTGAATTCTGTGATTGTCTTTTTTTTTTTCTTTTTCTTTTTTTCTCTTTTTTCTTTATTCCATATTTTTGGAAGTTATTGGAAACTTGATGGTGATGGAGAGATGATGTAATGGTGGTGGTGACTTGGTCATTTCTGCTAATTCCATGCACATATGCATATGTATGTGTGTGTATATATATATATATATGTATGTGTTATATATATATATGTATGTGTATTTACTTATAATTGATTCATAGTTGTCAACTAATTTTCTCTCTGATTTATGTATATGTATATGTATATATATATATATACGTGTGTGTGTGACTGGTGGTGGTGCTGGCCATGGTGGTGACGTGATAGTGGTGATTGATTAGTGTGCGTGACTAGTGGCTATTTTGGTTACTTACCGTGATTTTTATGGGTTGTTAAGTTATTTTATACATTAATTTTTTTTTTAATAAGTCAATATAAAGTCAAAGGGGTCAACAATGTCTTTTCACATTTAAAAAGTGGTCTGACACATTTAAAAAGTAACTTTTGGGATATGAATGAAAACGAACCAAACTTTTTTAATGTGAGTGATAATAATTTTCGAAAAATGTATCTATGTGATATTTGACCAAACATGAGAGGCATCAGTGAAATTAACCCTTATTATTTTAAAATTACAAAAATGCCTCTTTATAATAATATTATTTATGGTTAATTTCAATAACACCTTCCCCGATTTGACTAAATATCACATTAAAACAACTTTCAAAAATAACTATCACTCACATTACAAACGTTTGGTCCATATTTCATTCACACCCCCAAAATTACTTTTTAATTATGTCAAACCATTTTTTACTTTATGTGTAAAAATGTATTGTTACCAAAATTCCCTTTAACCTAAAGAATTAATTAAAAGACGAAAATATCCATACCTTTTCCCAAACAATATAATCACCCAATTCAATTATACACATATTCAAATATATATATATATATATATATATATATATATTTATGGAAAATGATGGCAGAACTATGTGAAACTTTACATGAATACAGAGGCTGAGATGGCATCCTAAACAAATGAGTGACGGAGATTAGTGATTCCAAATTGTTAGTCGTCAGTACTCAAAATAATTGAAGCCTTGGCCGTGTCTCATTTTGGTTCACTTGTTTTTCCAAAGACTTTTGAAGCTTCCAGTCAACTACTCCTCTTGCTCTGGTACTTGGTTTGAATCCCAATTTCATATTCTCATACTGCTCAAATTTCCACCATCGTATCCCTTGTCTTTTCTTGCTTTGGTTATTGCTTTCGTTCACAAACTGATCAACCCCCTCTTCCTCTTGCTCTTTGCTCTTTCGCTTGGTTGGAATCTGATTAGGTGCAAGCAAAACCCACTTTGGTTTGTCAATCTTCCTCAAACCTATACATCTCTTTTCACAAAGGATCGATGGAGGTTGCGGGGATCTTTCTGGGGCCGATCATTCAGGTGCTGCTTGAAAAGTTGGTCTCTCCGGCGGTGTCAATTCATTCTCGTCGGGAGGGAATCCATGGTGAGTTGAAGAAGTTGGAGAAAATGTTGCCATCTATTCGTGCTGTTCTCGCTAACGCAGAGGACAAGCTATTGCTATTGGAAAATGATGCTGCTGTCAAATTGTGGATGGACGATCTCACCGACTTGGCTTACGATTTGGATGATTTGCTGGATGACTTGGCTACTCAAACTTTGATCAAGCCAGAATCTCATGCCAGCAGCAGTACTAGTAAGGTACCAAAACTCAACCCAGCTGTTAAGCTTTATCGTAATGTGAGGTCCAAGTTAACTACTTCCAAAAATGATATGAGGTCCAAGATAAAGGACATCACTAAAAGATTAGAAGATATTGAAATACGAAAGAGTTTTCTGAAATTGAAAGAGAATGCTGAAGTGATTGGGTTCAAGACAATCAGAGAAGGTCGGGAAACGACTTCTTTGGTCTGCAGCTCTGAAGTTTGTGGCAGAGTACAAGATCAAGAGGCTATCATTGCGGAGTTGTTGAAGGATAAAGCTAGTGCTGACAATTTCTGTGTCATTCCCATTGTGGGCATGGGAGGCATTGGTAAGACAACTCTCGCTCAGCTCGCCTATAATCATGAACGTGTAGAGGGTCGTTTTGATGTCAAGGCATGGGTTTGTGTTTCTGATGATGTTCGTGCATATGTTCATAGAGTGACAAAGGCTTTTTTTGAGCAAGTCTCTTTAAAAACTCACGACTCCATGTCTTTGGAAACGCTTCAACAGAATTTAAAGGAGAGCTTGTCAGGGAAGAAGTTTCTTCTTGTTTTGGATGATGTTTGGAACGACAAGTATGAAGATTGGGAGGTACTAAAACGTCCTTTTAAAGTTGGGGCACCTGGGAGCAAAATTATTGTCACAACTCGTAATGGAGCAGTTGCAAAAACCATGGCTCTGTCTCGGTCGGCTTGCCATCTAAAAGGCCTGTCGGAAGATGAATGCCTATCTTTACTTGCCCATCATGCACTCGGGAAAGAAAACTTTGATGCATATCCAAGTCTAAAAGGAATTGGTATGGAAATAGTGAATAAATGTAAAGGCTTGCCTTTGGCTGTAAAAACACTTGCATGCCTCTTGCGGTCTAGACCCCCAAGTAAGTGGGTAGACATATTGAATAGCAAGATATGGCATTTACACGAACAAAGAGGTATTCTTCCAGTCCTTCAATTGAGCTATCATCATCTCCCATCTCATTTGAAGCAATGCTTTGCCTACTGTGCAACATTTCCAAAAGACTATGAATTTGACAAAGCTGAGCTAGTTCTACTGTGGATGGGGGTAGGTCTTTTGCAGCTATCAAAAGAAAAGGATCGAATGGAGGATTTTGGCAATAAGTGTTTTGATGATCTATTATCAAGGTCATTTTTTCAACAATCTGGTGGTAGTAAATCATGCTTTGTGATACCTGACCTTCTACATGATCTAGCTGTACATATAAGTGAGGATATATGTTTTATGCTAGATAAGTTGGAGGGTAATAAGCACTTTGAAATTCCTAAACGAGCTCGACACTTGTCATTTGTTCGTCAAGAATTTGAAGTCTTTCAAAAGTTTAGGCCTATTTCCAAAGTTCAGCATTTGCGGACTCTATTAGCATTACCAAATCAGGCAAATGCTTTGCCGAGATATTTCTTAGCAAACAAGGTTTTGTTTGATTTATTGCCAAATTTGCAGTGCATAAGGGTGCTATCGTTGCTTGGTTATTCGATAACTGAGTTATCAGACTCAATTGGCCATTTGAAGCATCTCAGGTATCTTAATTTATCTAAGACTTCAATCAGATCGTTACCTGAATCAGTGAGTACTCTCTACAATTTACAAACATTGTTATTGCACAGTTGCAAAAATCTTTGTATGCTTCCTCTAAACATTGAGAATTTAATTCATCTGCGCCATCTTGACATTGTTGATACTGTGCAACTACGAGAGATGTCCTCAGGGATTGGTGGACTGACGAATTTGCAAACACTGTCAAAGTTTGTTGTGGGCAAAAACTGTGGGGCACGACTGAAAGAGTTGGAGAATCTGAGGCTTTTACGAGAGAGTATTTCTATTACAGAGTTGCAAAATGTAATGGATCTTCAAGATGAAAATGAGGCAATTCTAATGGATAAGCAGTACCTCCATGAATTAGAGTTGGCATGGTGTACAGAATTCAATGATTTTCGAAATGGAAATCTTGAATTGGAAGTACTTGGCAAGCTACAACCTCACGGAAATTTGAGAAAGCTCAAAATTATGTTCTATGGGGGCACAAAATTTCCAAGTTGGATAGGTGATCCATCATTCTATGAAATGGTTAAACTGACTCTTGTAGGCTGTAAAAAATGCAAATGTTTACCACCATTGGGGCAACTATGCATGCTCAAAGAGCTACGCATTCAAGGCATGCATGAAGTGAAAAAGTCGGGGGATGATTTCTATGGGGATTGTTTTTCTTCGGCAGTTCCTTTTGCATCACTGGAGAGTTTGATATTTGAAGACATGCCAGCATGGGAAGAATGGTCTTCTTCTATTTCTAGTGGTGCTGAAGAAGCTGTAAGACAATTCCCTCGCCTCCGTGAGCTCAGTATACGTTGTTGTCCCAAGTTGATTATGGTTTCACTTTCAAGACTTCCTTCTCTTCAAAAATTATACTTGAAAGAGTGTCAGGAGGTGGTGCTAAAAAGTATAATTGATGTGACCTCACTAACCAGCTTGGAAGTTGAGAATATTACAGGCCTATCACAGCTTGAGGAAGCATTGGTGCAGTCCTTCGTAACACTTGAAAGTCTTCTCATTAAGGAATGTAACGAACTGGTGGCTTTGTGGCAAAATGGGGTGCCTTGCATTAACCTTCAGAAATTGCATATAAGAGATTGTGTGAATCTTGAGAAGTTGCCAAATGAGCTGAAAAAGCTCACGTCTCTCACGTCTTTGGTAATGAAGGGGTGTTCAAAACTTGTGTGCTTTCCAAAGGCAGGTGTCCCGCCCACGCTTAGAACACTTGAGATAGAGAATTGCAATGAGTTGAAGTCCCTGCCTGAAGGCATCTCTGGTCTTGAAGTATTGAAGATTGAAAGATGTTCATCATTGAGATCCTGGCCCGCCCAAAATATGTTATCCACCACTCTTAAGTTTCTTTTTATTTCTGATTGCATGAATTTAGAGTTGATGATGCTACAGCAGCATCAGGAGGAGGAAGACTTTAAGAACATTGATATTATGTCATCAGTTGCAGATTTAACCATCCGGAATTGGCCAAACATTGGAATGTTTCTCGGCTGTGAAAATAATTTCACTAGTCTCTGTGATCTGGAGATACGTGATTGCGATGTTCTAGAGTCCTTATCCATCCCAGAAAGAGGCTTACCCAACCTCAGATTTCTTACAGTCTGTAATTGCGAGAATCTGAGATCCTTGCTTACGACCGACCAGGATCTTCAAAACCTCAATTTCCTTCGGATATATAAATGTCCTGGTCTCAAGTCCATTTCAGAAAGAGGCTTGTCCACCCCCAACCTTAGATGGCTTAGGATCACCAGCTGCAAAAATCTGAGTTCGTTTCCATTGGATCAGGTTCAAAGCCTAGCATCACTTGAATCAATGCATATATATAGTTGTCCATGTCTTGAGTCCTTTCCTCAAGAAAATTTTCAGTTCCCTCCCAACCTTATTGAACTTCGTATTGGCGGTTGGTGGAAACTCAAGCCCTTGTCAGAGTGGGGTCTGCACCGACTCACCTCTCTTCAACAACTTGAAATTGATGGTGGATATCCAGAGATGGTCTCCTTTCCTCATGAGGAGAACTATCTACTTCCAGCAACTCTAACCAAATTACGAATTCAAGATCTGCCGAATCTAATATCCATATCATCCAAGGGCCTTCAAAATCTCACCTCTCTTCAACATCTAAGCATCTTCGACTGCCCAAAGCTTCGATCCTTACCAAAGGAAGGGCTGCCTTCAACGCTTGAATGTTTACAAATGACTGATTGTCCACTTGAAAAACGGTGCTCGAAGGAAGACAGAGGTGACTACTGGCCCAAGATTGCCCACATCCCCTACGTCGGAGTACATGGCAATTTGCTTAACTACTATAGTTGAGACTGAACCCATGTTCTACATTCTATTTTCTTTTGTCAGGTAAGCTCATGTTCTACAGTCTCTCTCATGCCTCTCATTTTAATCGTTCATTTCGAATTAATGCCAGCTTCGAGTGATTAAGTGTAGTTGCTGGTGCACCTGTAATGTCTGTGTATGTATGTGCATATGTGTATATATGTATGTGTATGGTGCAATTTAAAAGCAAAAGAAAAAGAAAAAAAGAAATTCAAAAATATAGGCATGTCTAAAAGAAACTTGAAGCAAAGTGGTTATTTCTATTGTTGAATGTAACTTTTTGTACATGCAGGCATGTCTAAAAGAAACTTGAAGCAAGTCAACCAGCAGCTTCCTCAAGCTCCATTGCTGGCCCTTCCCCTAATGATTTGTACGCTAAAGTGATGGGAGAGGAGAGAAGGGGTTGTGTTCGAATGTGTGGTTTGGGATTTACACCAAACGATACTTGGGGACCTCCTCTCACTTAAGTGGAGCTGATGAGGAGGACCATCCAATCCGAGGAAGAAGTGCGTGTTGTACTTGCATGGTTGGAAGGTGTTGAACAGACCATGTCATATTTAGGCCGAGTGCATAAAATTCAAAACTTACAGCAACAAATGGCCATACTTCTGCACCAAAATGCAAAATTCTGGTAGACAGGTAAATTCAAATTCTACAATGGTGCCAAGTGAATTCTACATAGTTTAGCCTCATACTTCTGTGACTAGCTCTTACTTTTGAATTGTGATATTCTACAAAGGCTGAAGCTTATGATGACTTGAAATTCTACAATATTTAGTAATCAGTGGTGAAGTTGAAATCCAATTTCTATGATGACTAGCTAATTAAATGAAACTAAGAGTTTGTTTCTGAACAATTGATGTAAACAAAAAAAATAAAGTTGATTATGAATAAATAAGACACTTTTTTTCTCGGGCAAGTGAATAAACAAGACACATTACACATCATTTTTTATGAGAAGAGACTAGAATAATTAATTCACACTCATTGCCAAGGAGTGCTGCAAAGAGATCAATGCCAATTGTACATGAAGTAGGATTCCGGTATGTGCGTGTTACATTAATTAAGATTAAGACTAAACTAAGTTATGAACTGAATTACGACTAAGATTACTCTTAAGTTATGTTAGAAAATTGAAGATGGAAATTAATACATTGCAAGAATGTAAATTGTTGGGTCTATGTGAATTGTCTTCTATATAGAAGACTTTACCTTTAATAATTGATTTAGGATAATTGCTGGTGTGAAGTGTTATCTCCACTTACAGCTAGAATCATATATGCAAAATAATTTTTTAATTAAGCAAAATTTAGGAAATTTGATACGTTCAAAAGCCAAAGCAATAATACCCATAAACTGAGCTGAAATTAACATATCACTTGTGAGTCGATGATGTCTATCTTCTAATTATTTCATACATATCATAGTAAGCGAAAATGCCGAAGGATTGAAGTTGCCCTGAGGAAGAAACTGCATGTCGTTATACGGAGGTAACCAGATTTTATGTAGGCTGTTTAGTAAGTTAAATCCTTGCAAAAAAAAAAAAAATCTTTTTAATCACTGAATCAGATTTGTGATAGGTTTCTAATACTAACCATTTTTGGATAAAATTTGTGATAGGTACCTCATACTTCTAGTTCTCCAACAAATTCTCTGCAATTCCTGTTCTAGCCATGGAACTTCGTCTATGGTGATCATCTTAAAAACTCTTACTTCTAAATTTTGAAAAACTGATTGTCTGATTTTGTTTGGTTTTTTTTTTGGGTAAAATCTGTGATAGGTTCCTCGTACTTCCGATGCTCCAACGAACTCCCAACATTTTGGTTCTAGCCGTCGAACCTCATCTGTGGGAGTCCTTGTCCTTCCATCTTCGACTGCCTGAAATCCATATCATCATCATCCAAGGGCGGTGGCCGTGGCCTCCAAAATTCTCACCTCTTCAACATCTAGAGATAAATGCCCCGAGCTTCGATCCTTACCAAAGGAATGCCTACCTTCCACTCTTCGAAGTCTTCAACTCAGGAAATGTCCACTTCTTGAACAACATATTTGCCCTCATCCCCTTTGTCGCAATATATGGTAATTAACTCACCTTTTTCAGATTATGAAACCTACTATATTCTATTTTTTTCTGTCAGGTACGCTCATGTTCTACAGTCTTTCTCATGCCTCTCATTTTAATCGCTCATCATCACCACATCACACATGGAATTTCCTGCTCTCAATATGCATCAATATATATATATATATATATATAACCACCTTGATCAGGTGTAGTTGCTGGTGCACCCAATTAATTTTCAGGGATTTAAATTTTAGGCTTAACCAAAATGGCATTTTCTCCTTCCCCTTCTAAGTGTCTTCCCTTTTATTTGTGATTTGATTCACTCCATTGCAGAAAATGGTCCATAAATTTTACATTTATGCAGTGCATGTGTTGCCTAATGAACTCTTGGTTGGAGCAGAACAAGTAAAATTATTTTACACTTTCCAGACTGAGGTGATACTTCTTCTTCTTTCACAGCCTCTTCATTTTGATACCATGTTTAGCCCTTTAATTACAGTCCTTATACACAAAGTTTATTTCTATTTATGTCTCTTCTTCTAGCAACAGAGAAAGAAAATAAATAAATAAATAAATCTGACACTTTGTTCTGGAATATGAATCACTTTTGCATGTCCCATTTCACCAGCCTGTTGGGCAAACTGTGAACATGAAACTGCTGTGTCACAAACCTTTTTGGACATCTTGGAAGAGTCTATCCTTTTGTCTCAAATGTTGTAAGAATGAGAAGTGAATTCTGAGTCCTGTTAAGGAAATGTTTAAATGTCATTACACCTTGGAGGTTCAGATTCAACAGTTATAATTTGTATGATGCATAAAATTATTGTTGGCCAAGATAGACTATTATGTCATCAGTGGACAATTTATGGAATCAAGGGCTGCCTATGAACATGATTCTACTCTTTTTGCAGAATGATTTTGATAATTTATGGGTGCTCTAGGAGGGCGATTGTATTTGAAGGAGGAATTGTGTTGTATGTTTTGCTTGTGAATATTTTGAGTTGTATGTTTCAAAGGAGTTGTACTGTGTGATCTTGACTTGATTGATCACGTGGTCTAATTTGAATTTCTTCGTCTTTTTGAAGGAGGAACATGTCAACCAATAATGGATGCACACAACCATCGACGATGAAATTCATGCCAGCGCTAATCATGGTGAGATTAGGTGACTATTTACATGTATCAGATGAAGTATAGATGATTGCAGTAAGATTGTTGCAACTTTTTTGATCCTGGATTACAGTTAAAAAAGAGATTGTGTAGCAGGGTTTGAAATTTAAAATCTGAAGCGAGTGGGATTCTACTTCATAAATATATATATATATATATATATATATATATATATATATCTTCCCTTCCATATGTATTTGAAGTACACATTTATTTCATCCAGACATCCAAATGTGTATTATCCAATTTCTATCTCTGTTCTTGAATTCTGCAATCTTTTGCGTTGGGCATTCTTTAATTTGATCCCTAGAAGAATTGTTATCGTGATGCGTATATATTTTTGTGTGTGTTTTATTAGAATCATTGACTCTGCCAGTCCTAAGATTTTTGTTGATTAAGCTCTTGGGAACCACTCATTAAAAAACATTCTGAGGCAACCACTTGTATTGTTTTTGGTCAATCTCATCACTTTGATGTGCATTAAAGTTCATTTTGAACAAAAAAAAAATTCCGTAGTTGATTCTTTTCTAACATAATTTTTACATTGTAGTTAGCCATCTACAATGAATTTATTTTACTTCTATAATATAATTATTTTATTAAATTAACTATTTTTCATAAATCAACAATAATCATTTTTTTCTTTGAAAATTAAATTAACACAATTAAATATATATGTGTATTAAAAGGATTTTTTCATTCTTTGTATAGAATTGAAGAATTATATTAAGCCACTTTCAAAAACTTGTCCTTATGTAACTAAACATTTTTAAGATGATACGTTTGAAATTAATAAATGCATCATTGCTTAGTATGGCACGTAAGACTCGTATTGTCAAGTGCAAGAAATTGGTTTGATTTTAACAAGGTAAACCACTTTGTGAAAGTAATACAAAATTAGATATGCTCACATTTTGTTCTTCTAACACCTCAAATTTACATAATGGCCATTTAGTTTTAAAAATCAATAACAATTTTTAGTAATTTTTTAAATCATTTATGCATAATAATCTTCATATTTTGTTGATGGGTTTTAAATTAAGCCACTATGGCAGGGTAAAAGACTCTGTAGCCACAATACTAAGACCCAAATAAAAAAATAAAAAATACTCAATTAACAAGTTAAAAACCATAATAGGACCATGCTTAGATTTATAATATAATAAATAAAACTATTCATAATAATTGGCATGGAGTCATGGACTAATGAGAACCATAAATCAACTTTTAATAGAATAGACTAATAACAAATATTCTTACGTAATATCTTGGAAATCAAAAATTTTAAATTTTTTATAGTCATTTTCAAACGGACATTATTTGGCGCATGTGAGACGAGAAAATGTGTTCGACGATGGAATTTTGAAATATTCGACGAGGCTAACACCACCAACTTTCATAGACAAATTAAAACCATAATAAGTCCATGTTAAAATTATAATATAAAAATAAAAATATTTAAAATAATTGACATGATAGTGGAAAATACAAATTAATTTGCTGGTTGTTTTGACTTGCATCCAATCAATGATTGAGAGGAGGAGTGGAAGAGAGAAAGAAGTCTTCCTTTATAAGGTAGCAAAAAAAGTGAAAGGAAAGGTGAAGACTGGTGTTGGGTTTCTCTCCTATTTCTTAAATAAAGGGTTTTGATTTGATAATACCAACATCTTTGCTGCTGCATCACATTTCAGGTTTGCCAACCCTTGATTTGTTTGATCATCAACCTTCCAAAACTCAGAGAAAGCAATCGAGCAATGACAACCGTTGATCTTTGTACGGTTATGTGGGCCCCTTCTTCATCATCATTGATCACTTTCACACGTGGTTAACAACCAGCTGCAGATGAAAGAGATAGGTGAGAGAGTCCAGAGTTGGTGTGGTGGAGACATCTGTGTGAATTGAGAATGAGGTGGACAAGTAGGACCTACACTTTCTACAAAGCGCGTGTTTTGTACACTCAAATAAATAATTATTATTTTATCATAGCTAAATACTATATTCAATTATTTGATAGTTAAACATAATTTGGATGTAATTTAGTTTATGGTTCGCGATTCCGCAAAATCGATTCGCGACATATTGATCAGTTTGTAATTATTTTTTAAGAGTTTAATATTGTTACATATTTTTATAAATTGGTCAATTTAATCGATTTACACTGATATTCATCTAAATACGGTATACTGTGATTCAAATATAAACTCAAATTTTCATATATTTGTAACAATTTCTATACTGGCCGTTGAGGGCGCGTTGAAAAATTTCGATTTAAGTTAAATTTGCTTTGGAATTAGGATCGATACATAAATATGAATCAGCGTATAGTTTTAACAAATCTTAACATTTTATAAGTTGTTACATGATTTTTTTTTTTTTCCCCGGTTAAGCAAGTATTAATGTGTATAAAAAAAAATAAAAAATAAAAATAAAAAAAGGAAGAAAGAAATTTATAATTAATGAATATGTATAAGTTGTTACTTGATTGTTTACTGAACATATTTTAAAATTGTTGTTTAAAAATTCTTGAGAGTTTTTAAATTTCTTATTAGAGCCCTTTTGAGATTGTTGTTGGAATAAAATAAAAAAAAATAAACTTTTTTATCAATAGAGCTATCAAAAAATTGCTAAAAAATGTGTTTAGCAATGTTAGGTGTTTGGTGACACATTATAATAAGTATTTTTTATAATTAAATTATTTTTTAATTTATTATGTAACAATATTTTTTTAATATTTCTATTGCTAATTTTACAATAATATTCTTTAATAGGATGTTACCATATTTGATAATAGTAAATTTATTAAGGAATAAGTGTAATTGTCTTTATAAAAAATAAAAAGGACATAATTGACTAATGAAAAAAAAATTAACTAAAATATTCAACATCTATTATAAAGCAGTTTTAAAAGCTCCAAATTATAATTTCATTCAAAAACACTTTTATGGAGCTAAATTTGGTAACCATTAAAAGTGTTTTTAATGGTTTCCAAACACATCTAAACACAATTTTTTTAAATAAATTATTTTTAAGTAGTAGGCTCTTAAAAGTGCTTATGAAATGAAAATGATAGTTTATGAAATTTTAGTTAATAATTCTATGACAAAATTGTATCAGACCAATCTCACGCTCAAGTATTTGAGCTTGGACTATATACATAATTTAAACCAAAATTGAGCTTGTTTGAAATTGAAAAGCAAAAGGCTCGAGTCTGTCCAATTGCATTATGAAAGTCAACCGTCATGATAATAATAATAATAAAATATTTCGAATTAATTTGAGTCAACACCTGAAAATCCGATCCCTATTTTCTTACTAATTAAATCATTATGTGTGTGTATACATGGAAGGTCATATTTATGCTCCACTTTTATATTACTGCACTCTAATTTTAAATAAAATGACACATTTAACCTTGACTTTAAAAATTAATACTGTAATTGTTTTTCTCAAATACCACCCTATCCTTTTAAGTTGTGGTAAAATCTTTTTATTTCCTCCTATTTCCCAATCAATGTTTTTGATATCATACGGTTTTTTTTTGTTAACCTTCTTCCTTGCTTTCAACCTTTCCTCTTTCTATGTATTCTATTAATTTTTTCTTCTCCCTCTTTTGGATTTGATATTGATCTTTGTAAGTAATAGTATAAGATTTAAAATTTCACAAATAAAGAAATAAAAAAATTTAATATGTAATTGATCTTGTTAGCATAAATTTTTTTGAGTAACTATTAAAACTTCATTATTTTTCTTTTATTTCTTTTATTTTTCTTTTGTGTTTTATGCTATGAGTTTATGTTTGAATTTTTTTTTTTTTTTTTTTTTTTAGTGACGTAATTTTTAAAAATTAATTTGGATGGTGATGGGAATGTTAATTTTTTAAAAAAAATCTTTTCTATTTTATGCTTTGAGTTTAGTTTCATTTATTTTTTTGTATGTAATTTTTAAGAATCAATTATAATTTATTTGAATATTTAAGTTTACTTTCTACTTGTTGACAAATAAAAGACATAGTACAGAAAGAAAGAAAAAAAAGAAAAAAAAAGAAAAAAAAAACACCCTCAACTTGTAATCTTTTTCAGTAAACTTTTATCTAATTTTTTACCAAAGAACTTCCTCAACGTGTAACCCTTTCCAAATATTGTAAATAATATATGCACGGAAAACTTATAAAACAGGGATTTCAGAAATATAAGATTTGTTTAACAAAACTTTAACCAAAGAGAAATAGACAATCTAAAAATCTATGCAACAATCTTACTTTATTTTATTTGTATAAAATACTCTGGTTATTTGCAAGAAAATTTTCAGAATTATTCATTTTCATATGGAGAATAACATATAAAAAAAATAGCTCTAATAGAGACCGGATATTTATTTTATTTTTAAATGGTGTGCCTATAAAATAATGAAAATACTTTTATGCAAAATATGATACCTCATTAGATCGATCTCTGTTGGGGTTAAATTTTTATATTCGGCTCCATACGTAGATGAATAATTCTAAAAAATTTCTTTCAAGTATTTTAGTTTTATTTTTAGATTTCTTATTTCTCTCTGGTTATGAAAGTTTGTTGTACAAAATCTTATATTTCTGAAATCTTTATATTATACGTTTTTCGTGTATATCTTATTTACAATTTTTAAATGCACTGTTTGTGATATATGAATTTTTGAAGTTCGGGAGAATTAATATGTAAATAAACAACATTTTGGTCTAAATATCAACTCTTTTACCCCCTTCACATAGTTGAGGGGGTTCTTTGGTAAAAAATTAGACAGGAGGATTTATTGGAAAAAAGGGTTACAAGTCGATGGGGTTTTTTTTTTTTTTTTGTACTTTGCCCTAAATAAAATCCTAACTTTTTTTTACAATAAAATTAAAAGATTAGGAATTTTGTGAAAAGAAAAAATATATATATAAAGAGAAAGGGAGAGTAAAGAAAATAAATAAGGTAAGAAGAAAAAAATTATAGTGAAAAGGGTAAAGATAAGGTATTATAAAATGAGGGAGGATTTTTTTTTTTTTTTTGGTAAGTAAGTGTAAATATATATGTGCTTAATTGTTGACAAACACTGTGTTAATAGGAAGGAATGAAGAGATATAGAGAGAAAATGAAATAAATGAATGAATTTTCTTTATTTAGTGTTAGATGATAGAAGGAAAGAAAGGAGAATGGAATTACGAGTCATCATTCCTCCTTAAAAAAATTTCATCTGCCAAAAAATGGAAGAAAAAAAAAAGAAAGGAGAATGGAATTACAAGTCATTATTCCTCTCTTAAAAAATTTCATCTGCCAAAAAATAGAAGGAAAAAAAGGAGAAATGACAAGTAG